AAAAAAAAAAAAAAAAAAAAAACCTTGGTTCAGGGGGAGGCTTTTTAATTTATTTTATTCCGTGTATTTGCTGTCCTATTCAGACACCATCTGTCTTACAGGTAGCAGTTACCTTTGTGGGTGCTCCTAAGGAAGACGGGCGAGGGCCCCAGGGCCCAGGAATGACACTGCACACTAAGTGACCACCTCTTCGTCCCAATGACTGACCCACACCAGCCGTCCCTCCAGGCGCCCTGCCTCAGCCTGACCCTGGCCTGGCTCATGAGCTGTCTCCTTTCTGGAGCCCCCTCCTGACTGCCGGTCCCAGTCGGGCCTGTCCTCCCGGCATCGTCACCTGCCTCTCTGCTTCCATGCCTGTTTGCAGCGCTGTTACCCGAGTCCTTCAGTGCAATGAGATAATGTCGATGATCCTGAATATAATCCCATATGGCTGCTGGATGCATGCACAAGTTTAAGTCAAATTAGAAAGTAAATTCACTGCCAAAAATGCTTAAAAGTCATAGGGCCAACTGATGAACCATTGACAAGGCAGCTTCAGACTCTGTTTTCTAAACTGTGATTCATATGAAGGGACTGAATGGGAATCACTCTGCAGACTGAACCAAACAGCCTGTGGAGGACGGCAGCGACTGGGAAATGAAGTCAGGTGAAACCACATTCATCACTAAACCAATAAATCACTAAGCCCATAAATACGGGGATGTCTAAGATAACCCTGTAAGTGGACAGCTCTCAGCTGGCCCTTCCCCTCTCCCAGATGCCATCCTCCCCTGGCAGAGACTCAGATTTCCTTACCAGCTGGCTCAGCCCTTCCTGGCCAGCTGTTAGCACCCAGGTCCTGTTCCATACCTGTGCTATCGGGCCCTGCCAAAGTCCCCTGGGGCCCGTGTTTCTCATCCCAGATGTCACCCCCATGCCACCACCACCAAGATCTCAGCCTCCCCAGACAGGACCTGCCTCCCAAGAAGACAAGACGGCAGGGTGTCACTGCCTTCAGGAGGGCAGGAAATGCCACCTGGGGACTTGCTGCAACAGAGGATGGAAGGGAGGTGTGTGCTGGGCGCAGCTGGGCTGGAGCTGCCATGTCTCTCTGTCGACAAAGACCACTACAGCCATTTCCTGGCATTTGAAAAGCCATTGTCTAGAAGAGAAGCTTTCCTCTCACCCCCCTAGAGTGAGGCAGAAGATTACTACAGTCATTGTTTTTGGTCCTAAACTAAGAACTAGTCTCAAACAAGCCTCCAGCCTAGCAGCCAGTACCCTGAGCCCTGCCCACCCAGACCGCCTGCACACAGCACCACGTAAGGGGGTGAGGGGAGGGTGGGAGTTCTCAGGGCCAGGCCACGAGCGTCACTGTGCCATGGTGACGTCTAGGACTAGCTCCCTCTGCCAGGCATGTGGTGCGTGTTTCAGAATTCGAGCAGAAACAATTTAGAATAATAAAGCTTTGAGCAGACACAATTTAGAATAATAAAGCCTTCTAAACAGGCTAGACGTTTCCGTCAGAGGCCACAGGCCAACCCCAAGCCCCCACCTCAGGCCAGCAGGGCTCAGAACGCAGCAAATGGAGGGTGTGACTCAGCCACCCAGCAGCTGCCTGGCCAGAAAATCTCCATTCTCTTTTGGGTATTGAATGAACAGAGATTTTTAGGGTTTGCAGTGCAAAATTAAGTAATTATGCTTAATGACTGCAGGCTGGGAGAATGGAAGCCTGTAGCTAACCCATCCCTAAAGTGGAGAGGAAGGCAGATGCCCACAGGCCGGGCCAGAGGACTCTCCAGGCAAACAGAGAGGGTCGGTGATCACTCTGGACCCCTCAGGGGGGAGCATCTCTCCAAATAACTGCTCTGGACAGAGGGCTCACCTAAAGCTTAGCTCATAACTCAAGTTTATTCCGTGGCATCCTCAGGGCACAGAGGTCCAGGGCCACTGACAGACCCCACCTAGAGGCTAAGGCGACACTTGGGCAGAAAGAGCAGGCTTCAGGTTCGGATACTCAGGGCCTGCAAGCCAGCCAGGCCCCTGCCTCCTCTTAGACCACCAGTATGTGCTAAGGAAAGCTAGCACCCTTCCTTCTACCCAGTTTCTTTTGTCATGTTCGTGTGAAAATAACTCCAAATGTAGTACTAGAATCTGAAAAGCCCCATTAGAGATGAGCCAGATGGGCCATATGAGGTGGCCCAGGCTAGGCAAAGCATTGCTGCTGCTTCAGGCAAGAGAAGAAAGACCTTGTTTTTCTGAGGATTTTTGAGGCTTGGGGCTTTTAAATCCATTTTGTGGACATTTTGCCATTCTTTTGACAATACCAGAATTTTAAAGCCCTGGAAGAGGCTTCTAAGCAGGCACGGTCCATGCTAAGATCTGAGTGCAGTAGAGGGGCAGGAGGGGAGTGTGGGGGCAGAGCCCGCCCTGTGATGAGCTAGTCCCAATCCAGAGGACACGGCCATTGCTATGAGCATCTGTAGGAGACCCCACAGTCCCTTCTTGGCTCTTACAGACCAAAAGAGTCATTCGTGCTATGAGTCATGGTCCCTCCATCATATGTGACAGACCAGCCATCTACCTGAGACTCGGCTGCCCTGGTGGCCTGAAGCTGGCACTGCCAGGGCCCTTCCTCAGAACCTTCCCTCATGGCTGGTCTGGCCTGGGGCAGGGACCTCAGGTGGAAGAGAAGGGACTAGGTGCTGAGCCTATCCGAGAAGCAGAAATGGAGACACCCCACCACTGGCTCCATGGGGCCTCTGCCTCCCTGTGCTTCTCCCTGGTTGGTTGTCTCCCAGGACCTCCTCAAGGTGGGGAGAGAAAGGAACAGATAAGCCTTGACTTTCCTTTCGCCTGTTATGTGCTTACGCGCCTCTGAGCTCCTCCCAGGTGCACTCGCTCACCCCTTCCCATACCCTTTGAGTCAGGTGGGGGTAATGCCCACTGTGCTGATGGGGAAACTGAGTTTGAGAGAGCCTCACGTGACTTGTCGGGGCCTCACAACACTGACACAGCCTATACTCATTCTCTGTTTATTCTGACTCCTCCAGAATTACCCTAAACGTTTCAGATACAATTTCCTGGCCCTATCCCCAGACACAGCCTCCTTTGTGTGAGGTGGCCCGGCCTCCACTGGGGGGGGTTGTGTGCTCAGACCTCGCCTGCTCTCCACCCTCCTGGGAGCAGTCTCAGAGCACAGAGGGCGGCAGAGTTTGCTTCCAGCTCCAGCCTCAGAGACTGCGGCCCAGTCGTGCTCACTGTGACCACGCCAGTGCATTGCAGGGGGATGTGGCGGGCCGTGTGGGCACAGCGTGTGCAGGTTCCATGGTATCCCCTCAGCACGTGGTCGTTTTGAAAGGAGACTGAGAGGCAGAGCTACTTAATTACATTTCCAGGTGCATTTTTCCCAGAAGTCACTCTGGTACTTACTGCCTGAGTCTCCTGGGCCCTTGCTGAGCACCTGGGTGCAACCCTAATTAACGGCCGTGGCCACAGCCAGCCCACTGACCACCTTGTGATCCT